TTTCTTTTATTTTTTCATGAAGCTCATTATATTGAAATGATTATTTAGTTATTACAAGTAAATATCTCATTATAGCTTGGCTAGCTAGTTAATAATTCTCTATCGAGAGTTAGTTATCTCGTAATAATTTAATTCTTGTTGTAACACGTCATTTAATTGGATAAAAGCTAGATTTAGTTGATATCGTATAACATATGTTGCCTACGACACGATGACTTATGTCAAAAACGTATTATTCTGCTTGACGTTACTTTTAAAATATTTAAAGGCATTTTTGTAGAAAAATTGCCTTATTGTCTTCACTTAATGATGGAAAATTAAATTATAAGGAATGAACTTAATAGCTGCCCAAGTTATACTGGCATTTATCCTGTAACTACCCCTTAAAGCTTGCATTGACCTAATAAAGGTAACCTAATAAACCAAAGCTATATTTGGTCAATGCCCTTATATAGCCTCGTGCATGTATTCTGACGTTCTGAAAGCATTGTGAAGTCAAATATATTGCAATGTTTACGCTATTGCGTCTTGGTTTCAACTGCAGAGATGTGCCTAAATCGGGTTGAAAATATCTTATTTTGGAGGTCGGATGTGAAAATATGTTGCAGGATAAAGAAAATACAAGGTTACTGTCTTGAAATAAAAGCGATATATGGGTTCGAATCGAAAATGTGATTATCCTAGCTGCCTCTGATAGAAATCTTGAAATTTCATTGGTCAAGAAGAATACTGTATTAAACCATGTTATGCTGTCTATCCACATCATATTGTTAATGTTACCCCTCCACGTGTCATACTGTCCAGATCATATTCAATATGTTGTTTAAGAAATAAACAACAATGTTAAAAAGTTCTCTGGGAAATGAACTTGGTTGGTCACGTGATCAAATCCTGTGAAGCCCGAAGGGCTTCTCGGGACATTTTTTCAATTTTTTATCTCTTTCATCACTATAAACTTAGAAGTTCCAAAACCAGTTTCACCGTGACAGAAATATGTATGCAAAATATCATCTCGCCGTGTGATTCGTTCACGCTATGACCTCTGACCCCCTAATAAGTTCATACAGAATTGAACATATTTTAACTTCCATAGGTTCATCTCAGAAACATATATGTGCAAATGTAATTTTTTTCATTTGAACAAGCAAAGAGCCTAATAACTGACCTCACGTTAGCATTAAACGACGTCACAATGTAAACAATTGTTAGGGAACGGTTTGCTAAACTCAGAGAAAATGAACTTTATTAAAAAAAATCTTCGACAGGGTAAATTAGTTGTGTACATGGGGTTCTTGAAAAAATACAATATGCATTTTTCAAGGACCCCATAAATTTCCGTATTACCCCTCTAAGTGTCTACATAATTAATATTGAGGGCTCTGCAAGCCTCGCCCTCTATCACGTTTTCTTTTCCTCGCCCAAATATCGCTTATATTTCAAGACAGTAACTATGTATTTTATATATAACCTGGGTTGGAACACTTTACGATTTTTTACGCTTTCTTTATTAACCGCTTCGCGGTTTATAAAGCGTAAACTGTCTCAACCCAGGTTATACAGTATAACCAACTATTACATTCATTCCTTAAATAATGAATTAGTGACCCTATTAAGGTCAAGATCTAGTAAATGACTTTAGACTGTCGTTTTGGTGCTAGATCCATTATGACGTCATAATCAATTAATACTTTCTTTTTCCTGTACTTTACGGCTCTGATAGAATTATGTAGAAAATAAAGTATTTTCATGGAATTTAATTTGAAATCATGCGAAAATTAATCCCGAAACCTATATTCAATTTGATATTAATTTAAAGAAGAGGATAAGAACAAACAAATTACCGTTTTCTGAGAGACTGAAGGCAATCTGGATACATTTCCTTTGTTCGATAAGGAAAAAACTCCCATATTCATGACTTATTTTATTAATTTTTCATCAAAAAAAGATAGTTTAAAATATGATTTTTGATCTTGTTCACCTAGAAAATATGCCCCGATACACCTTATTTCACCAAGCTATACTTAAAAAGCATCTTTAAAGGAATTTATTTCTCAAATTTGAGAAATCTCTAGGCTCCTTTCATTTACTAGATCTTGACCTTAAAATGAATTTCCTATCTTGTATAACGAGTTAGTATCATATTATGATAATTTTTTAATCTCATTCTCCAAGAGTTAGTAGTCTCGTTACAACGAGTTTGATGTTATATTAAAACGTTTCAACTATATATTAAGTCGTCTTTTGATAATTATAATTAATTAGCTATCTTGTTCACTACTTAGTATCTCACTATAACATGTTACACATGTAGTTATTTCATCAAAATAGGTCTTTTTTATCTCGTTATTCAGGAGACATTAGTTACACTAGAAAGAGTTTGTTTAATTGGGTTTTCCGTCTTGGCAAATCTTGATAGCTTTGCTTACATTTTTATCAACCAGTCAAATTGCGCACAGACTCAAACTGTCTAAACTCCTTTTAAGTAAATGGTTTAAATATTTATTGTTTTAATATATTTTCTCCCACCTTTGTTAAAAAGTTTAAACTGTTGAAATATAATTATATCTTGCTACAAAACACAATACTAAGTATATTATGGTCGTTTATATATTTGATGATGAAAATAGGTGGATTCTGAAAAAAAGTAAAAATTCCTGATAATTTGAAATACAGTTAATGACTTCTAAATTCTGCCTACTTGTTACTATACGGACTCTGTCATGAACTGATTAACCTCAGCCTTTGGCCTCAGTCAATCAATTCCTCCCCAGGTCTGCATTCTCACAAGAAGACCTCATCAAAAGTCTTTTTTTTCTTAACGAGATTACTGTATTTTTTAGACTTGTCAGAAATTAGACTATCCAGTTTTCGTTGCAAATATTGGTCATGATGCTAAATTTTCAGGAATTTGCAAAAAAAAATTAAGACTCTCAAGTTTCAATAGGCCATAGCATGAAAAGTAGGTCATTGATTTACCATTTGAAAGTGTAAAAAAAAATACCCCAGTCATAAGTCAAGTAAATGATTTTTCATTTCTATAAGTAGAATGCTTTTGCCTAGTTAACATCCTTAAAGACACAGATTTTTGTTGAGGAATTGCTACATACTGATTCTTAATAAATGCATTTGTTGCTATGTGGACAAGTTCTGTTGCTATGGATGAATTAACTGAAAAATACTTTTAAAAAACCAGTTTGACAATCTCGATTCTGGACAATAGCAATTCAATTATTAGAATCAGATAATCTATTAAAAACGAAGATAAATATGTGCTAAAAATAACTTTCAGTGCTTCGTTGCTAAGGAAAATTTGCTGTTGCCATGGAGATAGCTTATTGTAAAATAGTCTTTAGTATACAAGGAAGAATATTTTATATTTTATTATTTTAAAATTTGTTTTATGATTACAATTTATCCGATTTTTCTTCCAGTGCTTTACATTTTCCCCTTTTTAAATTTATCAAACCATCCATTTTTGTTGCCTAGCAACAGATAGGAATTTCAAATTTGCAAACTTTTTATTTCACATTCTTACAGAGGCTTTCCTGTGGTTTTACAGGAAATAGATGAAACAATTGTATTAAGATGGTGAAATGAATAATATCGACTTGATTTTTGCTAAAATCAAGCAAACTGCTGAATCAGCAAAAAATGGGAAACATGTATCTTTACCTGTCTCTATAGCACATATAGAAGAGAATGTAATTTCTTTTGATTAAATTGACAGAACACTTTAAACGTGTATCTTTCTTATTACACTAGATAAGAAAAAAATTACTGTTTTTACATTTTGTATAAAGCCTTCAAAATGAGTGAAATTTCGTCAAACTACAAAGAAAAATTGGCCGGTTGCTAGGGAAATTTCTTTGTCCAGGTTTCCATAGTAACAATGACCCCAAATATTTTTCCTTCCACATACCTGTCTTATAGCCCAAGAAAAAACTGTGAGTGAAAAATCATTAATTTCTGAGAACTTCATGTATCACCTCCTGCCTGATTGTTAGGTGGACCTGTACTTAAGTATTAGACCAAGCAATACATGAGCAAAATTTCAAATTCCTTCCTTTTACAGTTCTTAAGATAAAGATATGACCAGGCACGTAGCATAAGGGGGGCAGGGGGGCTGCCCCCCCTTTTTTTTTCCAAAATATAACTTTTACTTTTGAAAATGTTCATTCAAAGGTCGGTTGCCCCTCCCCCTCCACTTTTTGCAGTTCAGTGAAATAAGGGTAATGTATTAGTATATGATAAAATTTGGCATTGAAAGAAGTTGAAACATGAAGAAAGTTGGAACCCCCCTCCACACACAAACACCCACACACTCACACACACACATACGAAATAGGATTTTAGAGTTTGGACGCCCCCCCCCCTTTTTGCTTGTCAAGTTCTTTTCAGGTAAGTTCATTCCCCCCCCCCCCCTTTCAAAAACGATGCTTCGTCCCTGATGACAGACGAATGAAACGGACCCGTCAAACAGAGAAGCTCAAAGTCATCCCTATGTGTCGCTCTTCTTTACAGGCAAAGTGGAGACTCTGAACCTAAAGCAAGCATTTCCTACAAAGGCACAATCTTGTGCCTTTTATATAGGCACACTTCATTTGAATTTACATATCAGTATTTAGAATCAGTATAATTCAAAACTTTAAGAAATATAATTATTATGCACAATTATAAATACTACAAACTTAGATAATAACTATAAAAAAGTCCGTCATTTTACTTTTGCACTTTTTTAAAGATTGCCTTGCTCTGCCAATTCGAATACAACTAACTCTCATTTGCACCAATTTATTATTGCATTCTTGATTTCATTGTATAAAAATTTACCTGCCATAACTTTGGCAGTGCCTTTATCCACGCATGTATAAGTTTACAGAACAAGAACACAAATGTTGGAAAAAATATTACAGTGTACATGTACAATTGCTTTGACCCAACTGATGCAATGAATATTTTGAAATTAAACTGATTTAACAGAATTTTTAAATTTCTCTTACTTTTACAATAAGGCCCGTCTCCATAGAAGCCATCATTACAATTTGTACACTTTTCCGGGGAGAAGCACGACCCCCCACTGTCACGCACTATTGGATGGTTCCGCTTCAAAATTCCATCATTAGAGTAATACTTTGTGCAGGCTCCACTGCGATCTGTTTTATCGTCACAAATTGCTGTAAATGAAGATTGAAAGAATAAATCAATGGACGAAGATTTTTTTTTTTTTGGATTCCATTATTGTGTTCACTGAACCATTATTTCTCTGTACCTCAAAACAGTAACCATTTTGCCAATGGCTATATATGCATGTACAAAAATACATAACTTAGATTTTTTCTACTGTGCTTATACACTGGGAATTGTGGATATAAGGAGGATAGTCATCATTATTTCTTTATGTGTAGAAAATATCTTGAAGCTAGACGTTTAATGTTGAATGCATTACTTGTAATTAATAATGTAAAAATGTTAAGTGTGCATAAACTGCTTTGGGGAGATGAATCATTATCGTTCCAGGAAAATGAAAAAAATATTTGGTATTGTTCAAAAATTTATTCAGAATACTGGTCGTTTCAATTAACACTTACATGTACTTGTATTTACTACCTTTTGAAACTATTTTAATATGGTTATTGACGTCATTATAATCATCATTATATCAATTGATATTCCTTAGCAATAATAACTATTGTCTTTGTTCTTGTACGTTCATGTATTAATATTGGAAAATTGTAAATCTTTGTAAATGTTGTATGGCTATTAAGATTTTATGTATGGGAGAGGACTATCTAAGTTTTTAGAACTTGTGTCCAATCCCTTTGACACATTGTCAATAAAATATGTTCAAAACAAAACACTGGGAATGAAAGGGATATTCATTTCATTAAACCTAATAAGCAGAGGTACTTGAAATTAATGACTTCTCTGATAGTAATTTACTGTTACAGTAGTTCTTGGGCAATATTGGCCAAGGTTTCAATATAATAGGTATTCCCCTCACAGCCAAGTGCTTTAAAATACTTATGTGAGCATAGATAATTAATAATCAATTATAATTAATTGTATAAAATAGTCTTGAAGGAAAGTGGTGCAATTAACATAAAAGCTTAATGTTCAGTCTCAATTTAATTCTTTATTCTCTCTAAACCAGATCACTGGTACAAAAGGTACACCCCCATATATATATATATATATATATATATATATATATATATATATATATATATATATATATATATATATATATATATATATATATATATATATATATTTTAGGGATGTCAAATCGGTCAATTTTTGATAATCGGTTACTCGGACATTTTTCCGATCGAGTACCCGGGTACTCGGATATGTAAATATAAGTGTGTTAATTTTTTCACAGGACTTCGCATACCTATCAATTTTACCGAAATATTTAGTAATTATTATAGGCACTACGTATTTTTTATATTTACTGAAATTTTTGGTAAAATCGATAGGTACGCGAACTCCTGACAGGTGATTTTCTTGAGCCAAGTAAATCTCTGTTAAACTTCAAAGCTGTATTTATCACGTTTATAAATGTATATATATACATGATATACATCGAGTCCAACGGAAATGATTTTTGGTACTAAGTTTATTTATCAAATAAACACAAAAGACACAATTAATACATCAAAAATTACAAATGGTTTACAGTTCTTGTATAGGATCTATTTCATCAACGCAGAGGGACAATCTGTTACGCAGGTTTGTGATGATTAGAATTGCTGGGATCGCTAGTCTAATGATATTTCATATGTTGGTTGTTTCCCCCGTATACACTAAACTTACTACGCAAACTGACTTCCAAGATATTTTTAATCTATAGTTATTTCTTAACATTTTTTCACTTTTAAAATGGGTACATGTAGCGGCATTTCTATGCATGTTCGATTTCGCTGCCGTATATTAACTAAATAATTTTAAAATGATTTTAAGATAATAGACCATACTTAAACGATATTCACTGAAAACAATCATGGAAGCCATCCAAAAATTAAGGCCCACGATAGGTGAGAAAAGCTGTGTACGGTGATTGGGCACTAATTACTGTATATACACGGCCACAGGCGATAACGGGTGTTTTACAGGTGAAGATGACGACGCGCTAATTATCGTTTGCCATATATAAGTTATTTATATATATATATATATATATATATATATATATATATATATATATATATATATATATATGTACTTTGAAATAAGAAAAATACACTTCCGAGTAACCGAGTACCATTTTTAGTATTCGATACTCGGACGTTCGATCGAGTACCCAGTTAACCGGGTACTCGTTGACATCCCTAATATATATATATATATATATATATATATATATATATATATATATATATATATATATATATATATATATAGACAATTATATAACGAAAAAAGAATGAAATAAACATATAATCAGTTATGTATATGGAGGATTCAAGAAGGACAGACAGTTTTGAAAATTTTCTTAATATATTTTGTCAGTGATTTTTGTATTTCTACAGTTCATGAAATTTGAAAGTGTTTGGAATTTTACAATATCTATTTTTAAGAAATAGATCTAGTTTTCTGTCATTTGAAAAGTACTTGAATTCTATAACATACTGAAATTCATCACCAATAGTCTCCATCACTCAATATTGTTAATATGAGGGTCGTTCAATAAATAATGCAAAAGGTCATCTAAAAATAAGAAAAGCACAAAAAGCAGTTTCTCTGTCTCTGTCTGTAAGACCTGTTTGGAGCCATGGCTTCTCTCTACAATAATAGGACAAAAGCTTCCTCTGATTCCACATTTCGTATGGGCTATAAACAGTGTACCCATGTTTCGTCACGCAACTCGCAGGTTTATCATACCTTCTTTTCTTAAAGTGTTTATATTTATTTTTTTGACACATTTAACGCGTGTTTTCTTGTAGGCATATGTAAGGAAATAATGCATTCATCTGAGAGATTTTTTTAAAAAAATTGATTCATTTCCCTTGTCCCAATTTAACCAACTGTTATGACGATGAAATGTTTAGTGTCTTAGTAACGTCTCTCATAGTAAATCTGGCACTTTCAGACATCATGTTGCACACAACACATGGCTGTAGGAACCGGGGGGGGGGGCGTGCTCCCCCCAATAATTTTGCCGATATATAGAATACTATAGAAAATATAGCTACTATATGCTTGTGTCCCCTCAAAATAACGTTTGATGACCCTTTTTTTTTTTTTTTTTTTTTTTGGTCAAGGAATTTTGGTAGTTGATAGTGCCCCCCCCCTCAACTGAAAATGTATGTTTGTGCCCCCTCAAAGTGGAATTGCTTCCTACGGGCCTGAACATCGATATTTTTTTGGTGTCCCTACATATCTCGATCGACCAGTTCGAGTGCGAACTTGTAAGTCGTCCTTTCCACTTTTTAATGAATACTGTACTGCGTGAAATAATAGTCTTTCCAGATATCAAAACCCAATCCTCAGCGGTTTTTGTAATGAACTTCATTTTCATCTTCTTGGCGGAGATCTTTTTAAAACAGTATATAGCTCAGTGAAGTGAGCATGCTTCTTCTTCTTTTTTTTTTAATAAGATTTCTTTGCGAAGACAATAGGAAAAACATGCGGTTTTCGGTGATTAGGAGATCTTAAATAGAACTTATTTTGTGTGAAAAAATAAAATTAACTGCTTCTACATTTATTATCATAAACAGTATGTTGCATTACTTATTGAACGACCCTCGTATAGGATATGTCATGACTACTATTATTTGGATGGAATCCATGTAAACAGAACGTGGCTTAGTTGGCTTTAGTTAGAATGACAGAAAACAGATTATGAACAATTAACTAGAAGATCTTATCAATTTGACTTTTAGATCATTATGAACAGTATATCTTTAAATTATATTCTTTTTTATATTTTTTTTCAAAATCTTTCCGATGTAATGAAATTACTGACGTTTCAACGCGTGTAAGACACTGCAGATCAAAAAAGAGTGTATATACACACACTAACCAATCAAGTGAGGTGTACACACTATGCAGCCAATCAAGAAAAAGTATTCAAACCAATCAATCAAGAGGAGTATACTCACTAGCCAATCAAGTGGGATATACATACATGTATCAGCCAATCAAGTGGGGTACACAAACACCCACACTTACGTGTTCATATTATACATATATCAAATGGCTTCGAGGGTGACATACCAGAATGTTTGCCCCAAGGTGACAGGAAAGTCCTGGAGTGTTATGTCACCCGATGCCGAAGGCAGAGGGTGACATAACACTCCAGGACTTTCCTGTCACCGAGGGGCAAACATTCTGGTATTGTCGCCCGAGAAGTCATGTGGTATATGTTATATAACATTTTTAAATTAAAAAATAGTCTAGAATTATTTAAGTTTTGGCAAATAATCCAAAAATGCTTTCATGACGTTAAGAATTGCACTCCGTTATTTACGTTTGCTTATAGCAACCGTCTTAAATCTCGAACCCGAGCTATAAATGCGTAACATAAAGACACGTGAAAGTGATCGGGAGGGTGTTATAACTGTTTCCGCCGGGTGATATAACTGTTTCCAGTGTGATTCAGCATTCTTCAGGGTTTATAGTGAAACTTATTACATTTGTGATATAATAGGAAAACTTATTCAAAAATGTTATATAAACACATATGTGCAATTGGAATGTCCATTTTGTACATATTTTTTGTTCTTACTACTTTTACAAGGGAAAAAACCATGAAAATAGTACTGAAAAGAGAACTACGAGAACTAATGAAAACAGAGCATTTGCAGAAGTTGATTTTTTCTATAAAATTGAGAAGTACCCATCTCTTATCTGCAACTCCTCCTAAACCACTGAATAATAATACTTTCACAGATTCTTTATTACATAGTGCCATTGTGTACCTCCTATTTTACTTTTTGATTGGACACTATTTCGGATCTCCCTTAACAAAACCTAGACTTTACCATTATAAACATATGGGAGGCGGGGGTTGGGGGGGGTGGTGTGGGGGTGGGGTATCATTTTGTGAGCTCAGTGCTTACAGTACCTCTATTTTTTGTGTAAATAAAAACTTTAATTTTGCATATGAAATTTTGAACAGGTGCACTTTTATTGAAGTCCAAGAGGTTTTAATGGTTAAGTTTATTTTTTATTCCAAGTATCCCTTTTTTTAAAATATCTCAGTGCAGAAGTATATAACAAAAATACATATTTTAGCGATAGTAAACTTAGCTCCTCCCTATATACAGATTATAGAGCATTATCTCTTCATTGGTGAACAAATTACAAATGCTAATCTAACTATCAAATTGATTTGTTGTACTTTTTTTTTACGTACATGTATATATATAACTATAGTATTAAATATTCATTCTGATGAAATTCATAGGAATTCATATATTTATGAATTTTGTAACATCAAATTGAGAGATTCAAGTATGAGGGATTTCCTTACCATATTTGCAGGATGTATAATCATCTGCTTCGCTTCTGTATCCAGGACAGCAGTACAGTTCAAATTTATAAACGGTTCTAAAATATCAAAATAAATGATTAAATTTCTATTCTTTATTAATTAATGTAAATCATTCTTTTCATTCAGAATTTTATTCTAGACAAAATGAAAGTAAATGAACCGGTTTAATGAAGATAACTTTCCTTATAATACTATATATAGAGAACTAAAAAAAGAAGAAGAACTATTGAAATTATAATATTGTTTTCAAACTTAAAATTGTGTATGAGAGAGAGAGAGAGAGAGAGAGAGAGAGAGAGAGAGAGACCTGTATCTTGTACACCGGCCCCATTTCCAGAATGAACATTTCGCCTTATATCTCTCCTTTTCTGACCACGTTTTCTTGCAAACATGTGCGCTAAAATAAAGAAAACAGAGAAGAAAGAGGGAAAAAATTAAAAATATGTATCAAAAATACATTAAGTTTTTTACTTTGTAAAATGTTTGTCTTGAATTTAAGGCGGATCGAGGGTGGGCCAATTACACTGTACAAATAATGATAATAATAATAATAATAATAATAATAATAATAATAATAAAAATTTAAAATTTTTTTTAAAAAACACTAGAAAGGCAACTGTGTCGTATACAGGGCTTTCAATTGAATTAGGGTAAGGTGGTGTAATTTCGACCGACAATTTTTTTTGTTCCTATAAACTTTAATTTTGTTCAAGTATGTCACTGTCTGTTTTGCTACAACTTTTACTGGATCCTTTTTCCCTCGGAATATCTGTCAGTTTTCAGATAACATTCCTCATAATATAAAATAAATGCGCTCGGTTTGCAAGATATTTTTAAAAAGTGTAAGTTCAATTTATTCGCCCAAACCAAAATATTGGTAAATGGTGTACATTAATAATATATATATACAATATATACAAACTGGTCAGAGGTACATATACAAATAAATAAATAAATAAAAAAAAAATAAAAATACCCAAACAAAAACATGACAGAAAACAGAAAAGAGAGGGGAGAATATAGGAAGGAGGACAGACAGCAATATGAATTTTTAGGATAAACATACATAGTTTTTCATCATTTTTTCGTTTTGAGTTGACATTTATTCCATGAATTTAATAACATTCGGTCTGTGGGAATAATAATTGCCCAGGTAATTTTTCCTTACATTAACTAAAGCTTCACATTTTCGGATATAATAAAATTCATCAGCAATTTGAGTATTATTACAAAGTGTACAGATTCTATCATACAGTGGTATATCATACCATAACTTCGACAGCACACGGGGGAATTTCGACATCTGGGCCAATATAAACGAAATAATTTGCCCCATCTCTAATATAAGAAAAAAAATTATAAATTCAAATTATTTTGTTGTAAAACATAAAAGTCTGACGTGAAAATTCTGAGAAAAAGAGATGGTAATTTTCATATTGTGCCTCATTTGAAGACATCGAGTGCACACGTGCAGGATTTGTCAAGGCATGCTACAAAATTAATGTACATACAGGCATCTAAACCGCATGTAAACCGAACAGATGAATTTTCACTTTTGTAGAACTTTTGTAGAACTAGTTTCTACTGAGTATGCATGTACATTATGCTTATCTTAATTTTTTTTAAGGTCATGGATTCTTTCTGGTAAAAGTCGTATTGCTGCAGATTGCATTGAGTCATTTTCATTGGTCGAAGTTACCCTCTGACGCCGTACTCAAGCAGGGCCAACTTCGGTCGATTTCTGTGCAGCTGAATTGCATTTTAATTTGTAAAAACTATGAATAATTTAAATTAAAAAGGCAAGAATTTCAGTTGCAAAAACAAAAGATTGTATTCAGAATTTCAAAAGAATTGACCTATAGGAGAGAACAATTTCCCGGAAAAAGTCAAACTTAAAAATCAATGTTAATTAATTGTTTTTAACCGTACATATTTCAAAATTTTTCAAATTTACATTTTGAACCTAAAATTTATTATTTGCAACTTTAATGCCGCATATAATTCCATCGAAACAAGCGATTTTTTTTCTATCAAAATGACATCTAATTTCATCTTTTAGAATGGTATTTCAGCAATAATACATGTATCTACAATATGTTGGATAACTTGAAAAGGTTAAATATATTCTTAAATTCAGTAATTTATCACGATGAAAATGATGATATGACGTATTATAAGTCTGAATTATTATTATTATTATTGAAAGAATAAATAAGCTGATAAAAAAACAAATGAAATGAAATTTGCTGGGCTCGAAACCATATATTCCAACAGGGAAATGTTATATCCGATTTATTTACGTCAAGGACATCGATAAAAATAAGAGAATAATTTTCACTGTGGTCCCTCAAGGA